CATAAAACTCAAGGAGGGGAGGGGGAATTGCAGGGAATCTACAAATCAATAACACATTGTTATTGAATATCAAAGTCATGACAGGATATGACATTCTCTATGAACTATGTGATGATCTAACACGCAAAGAAGGTGGAGTCAAACAAGGCGGATGATAAGTCACTTAACGTTACTTATCACCCACTCACTATTAACTAAGTAACTTCAAACAGGGGTCAATTGGGGTCAGTTCGACATGACATGACAGATAACAGTCCGCAGTGTCAAAGTAGATTCTGTCCCTACGTCAAAAAAGAAAGTGTTTTGAGTGTCAAATATAACTAACAGCTATAAAAGGCACAGCATTTTAAATCTGTTACAGAGACATACTTAGGGACAACGTCAAAAGATCGATGTCGGATAAAAAACTTATTTCCTTTAGTTTGGGGTGGGGGGTTTTTGACCTCTAAAAGTTTCCATCCTATAAAAACGATTTTATTTTTTAATGAAGTCAAAAAAATCTTGGAGTATTTGTAGTTCGTTTTTTTTCTATCCAATCATGGACAGAAATAACCCAAAAGGGGAAAAAACAGAAAAATGGTTTGGTTCAAGTCTGTGCGTCAAATGAGGTGCATTTGTAAAATCTTTTTACACCCACCCGACAACCAACTGCTATGCAATACTACTGTCCGATTATCAATTTGTATTTAATGGTGAATGTAGTCTGACGCCATGACCAATATTTATCAATTAAGTCTCAGTGGGGGGTAGGGGGGGTTGGAAAAAAACTAAAGGAATTAAGTTTTTTATCCGACATCGATCTTTTGACGTCGTCCCTTATTACGGGTCACTGCGCCTGGCTCACTATGTGTACACAGAATTTCGGGGGACAGCTGCAACAAAATTGTGTATAACGGAAACTATGTCTGCTGTAATTTGTCTAACGTAACAATGTGGTTCGAAGTAAATGGAAAAGATATAAAATTGGTCTGAAATCGTGTAACAGGAGCAACATATTTCAAACCACTGATGATACTGTATACTTGTAATATGCAGAGGTCTTGCGAGACCTCATCGGGCCGCCATGTTGGATTTCAGGACATCGACCCTTCTCGTGATCCTGTTTACATTGCAAGACCACCGTTGAAACAGATAAACTAGAGTCTAAATATTCGTGCAGTCAACGATCTTTTAGTTTTGTAGACTGACTACATCAGGCGATGTCATTAAATAAACTGCGGTAGTATTGTAAACCAAGATTGTTTATGACGCAACCCATCTACACATTCAAACTTTGAATAAGCATGTTGCTTCAACGTTAGACCAGTGGGAAAGAAGCAACAGTGCATCTGCAAAATGTGATCAGAGATGAGGACTAAATGACTGTTCCTGAACAAAGTGGACACTTACCTTCTAATTGCCACTGAAGTAAAATCCGCTATTAATTATCATCAATGTGAAACAACACCCGACAGAATGAGTGGTGACAGTCAGAATGAAACTCTGTGCTCAAAGTCTACACTCAGCTGCTTGTTTGCCGTTACGACAACCTCCCCCTGTGAAACGGTTAACCAAACTGCAAATGGTTGTAAAAAATGCATAATCGTAATGACAATCAAAATTTGTTGTGGATATTGAAATAATACAATTTTCAATACTGTAGTACAATTAATTTAGGACATCTGTGGAGTTTTGATGTAACGAACTTGAGCAATACCTCATATATACCGGGGGTGCCAATGCCATTCAACAAAGCCGAATTGTTTGCATACTAAAGTACTGCGTCACGTGACCACAGGTGCGGCGACTGGACCAATCGCAAAGTGCATAATACTGATAGAGCGAGTCATCGTTCATTGACTATTAATACAATTGTTATTAATTAATTAATTATTGGTACTATGTCGATTTTTAAACAAACCTCTGTCATATATGTCACATATGGCGAAAAAATAATATGTAGTTATATGATGGATGGAGTCCAGAATTATTGGGAAATTCTGACGAATACTATACTGTTCACAAAGAAATTACTTACGTAACCAAAATCATTGAATCATTTAATTTCAATGTCTGTAAACAGATAACAAAAATGTATCTAATCTTGTATGCCTGGGCGAATTATGCTCTTTCCTTTTTTCATCATTATCTTTAAGTTAGCAGTGAATCTTTAATTAAGACTGGAAATCATATCAATGGAAATGATATGAAGCAAAAGTTTTGTTTATGTTATTTAGTCAATTTTAGTTCATAAAATAAGTGATGTTTAATACAAAAACAAAAAACAAATTTGAAAACGATAATACAAACTTGAATGATTTCGATGGAACGTAATGAAACAACAAGTGTGTTATTTTTTCTTATTTGCCCAATAATCTTTTTACAAGGAGGCAGTGTATGTGTATTGTATGAGTTAGCACAAAATTCATATCGGATTTACAGTATATCCTGTCAGAATTTTGTTGATTACAAATTATTATCACCTTGTCTCAAGTCACCTTGTTTCAAGTTCATAAAATAAATTTGTGATACTGACAACAAATAAATTAATGAAATTAAAAAAAAGGTTTTTCAAATGAGTTTTCAATTGCTTTTATTATTTCCAATAAAAAAAACGCTTTAAAACGAATTCTTATGCAAAACAGGCCAATTTCAGACAAATTTTCTCCAAAATATATTTAGTATAAGTAAGTACAAAAATCCCCAAAGTTGATATTGTTTCTAAATCAGCAACTATGTAAACAGATTGAAAAAAACGATAATTATTAATCCGGAAGAATTACAGCCAACTAAAGTCAAAACACTCAGAGGGATTTCTATAACCGCTAGATGCTGTTCTCTCTCGGCGACATATGTCTTTGATCTAAAAGTACAACTTTCTCCTCAATTTTATAAGAGGTTTTATTAGTAGCAAACCCGGAAAGTACGGCGCGCCAAGTGTTGCAAAAATATTCTATCATACAGAATAATAAAAAAAAAAAACAGAATTTCATAGCCATTTTTTTCCAAAATCAAAATAATATATATGTATCTAGAAATAACAATTAAAAACTAAAATATAAAAAAGAATATTTAAAGAATATGAGAATTGAAAATGCGGGAAATAAAAAAAAAAGGCAGAAGCAACCGTGACGACAAAATAAATCTGAAAAAAAACTTACAAATGAAAAACTACGACGCGCCAAGTGTTGCAAACATATTCTATCATACATAATAATAATAAAAAACAGAATTTCAAAGCCTTCCCAAAATCAAAATAATATATATATCTAGAAATAACCTCTACGTGGCATCGTCTAATTCCGTTATCAATTTTTTTTAGATATCTCAGCCGATTAAGGTGACCCACTAGATACGATATGAAAAGTTAGCAAGTAAATCCACGAATAGTCATAATAAACAAAAAATAACAATAACAAATAAAAATTACATTGGTGATTGTGGTTGAATTCCTGAAAACGATCTTAATGACAGACTACTAGTATATGTACGGTAAACGCACACCTATTGTTGTCATGAGTCAGATACTGGCTATAACATGTTGTCATCTGGCATATCGTAATTTGTTACCAACATTAGTATGAGGGCCTTTACCGGGAACGAGCTTGTAACCCGAATAACTTTATTGGTTGGAAGATGATTGTTAACTTTATTAATTCACTACATTGGTAGAAATGTTATCAATCTGAACCACGCCTATGGTATTATAATATTTTATATTGGCTGGAATATCCCCGGTAAGTCTAGTAGCTTTAAACGGTGATTTGAACTGAATTGTCTGCACCAGACTGTCAATTCTGGGTTGAGTGGGTGGATGGCGGTGAATGTAAACATAAGGAAGAACTTTGAACTTATTGTTATTGTTACGGACATACGCCCATATTTTAGAATTCATGCTCACTTTTGCAAAACCACGCCTAGTATTTAACAGTCATGTAGAGTAGCACTCACTTTTGGTGTTCGATGACAGAATATAAAATGAGTCAAAATGTAGATGCGAAAACTCGGCATGGTTTAATGCTTAACCAACTGATATAGTAAAAGCTTACTGATGAAAAAAGAATCCTCGAATCTCTTGAATTAGCAGTTTTTATGGGTGTTTTGTGAACAAGAGAGAAAACATGGCTCATTGGCTGAAATTTAATTGTTCTCATTGGTCGAAAGTTATTTAGAAGAATATTTTATAGGAATAGATGAACGAATTAACTACTATAGCGGAATGAAATGCAAATTAAAACAGTAAAATCGATTAAACTTGTTCAAACAAGTTCTTACGTATATTGAGGACTGTGTCATTTAAGTGACAATGGAAAATCACAGCGTAAGTATTTCATGTAGAGATGCTTAATTCAGTTGTAAAAACATCAAGTTACGATTTTAAAATGACCATGCCCATATTTTAGAGACAACACCCACTTTTTGAATATAATGTCCATTTATAAATTATAACTCGATGTTTAATTATCTGTTCATTGAAATGTTAAGTTTTCAAGTTCAAAAGTCGCATGGCTACGAAAACCATGAATCAATTGAACAACCTAGAATACGGGACAGTGTGTGGAATATATGGAATATTCTCTAAATTAATTTAAAATTCATACCCAACCTGAATAAAAAAAATGATCTTCAGACGCATCCGAGTCATTACAGAGAATTCCAATGTAATTTTGGCGGGGAGAATATTTGAAGCATCGAGCTTGAATCTATTAATACCACACTTCGTTTGTGATATGAAATGACGGTTTTGAGTCAAGGATTTGTAACTTTCTTTAGAATTTTCTTTTCTTTTGAAATGTCCAAATTGGATTCTACCACAATCTCCCCACGAGTCAATAAACACCATGATTATGATTTCTATTGAATATTTTTTTTTTCAAATGAAGAAAAAGATGTTGAAAGTATGGCTGTATTTTTTTTATTTTATAAAAATATATTATTTAAGCTTATCGGTCCTATGATTCTCCTGTGCGATTTGTTTATTTGACTATAAAAGCCTGGCGTCAATACGGACAAACTTATTACGTTTTACTGAACTACTAGTACTCTATGCAAGAACGAAATATATTTATATATGGCCGCAGTCACGTAGGGAAATAACGTCCAACTATCTAACATATGATTGTATTTAAATAGAGCAATGACGTGTCTAGTAATATTGTAACAATATAAAAATAATACGGCGACAAAGCGTTGGTCGTCACAGAGATCGAATATACTAAATGGAAGGCCGTGACGGAAGGGCGGGTATCCAATGTATATCAAAATAATTATAGAAAACACTGCGTTCAGCACTGTTGTATTGCGCCCTCACAGTAAATTAGTGAAACAAAATTTACTAGTAAAAATATAACTGTCACGTGCTTACTGCCCCCTCCCCAACTACAGCCGTTCCGAAAAACAAAACAATGGTTGGTCATTTGGCCTGTAATATTTTACCTGGAACCGGATATGTCGGACCTCTTTGTGTATATATTAAAAGTCTATCGGGTCCCAAAATCACTTTCTTAAATTTGAATTCAACAAATGAAATTCAGGTTTGCGCCTATAACCATATATTAGTTAATTTGTCACATACTGTGGTAAGCTCTTGTTTATGTTCCTAATCAAATCATGAAATATCGTTTTATGTAGTAGTACTGCAGCTGATGTATTATTTCAGAATTCAAGTTTTATTGCACTCTTTTAAAATATGATTAAAATACTCCCTTCTGGTGTTATTTGCACACGCCTCGTGCGTAAAAGCAAAAACGTTAACATAGAGGGCGGCATATGCAGTAATTGAATTACAATTTACTGTCAGTCACGTGTGTTATAACACTTGGTTCGTGTCAACTTGGTACGTGCTTCTCGATTGGGTGTTCTCTTTGCAATCAGACAATACACCGTCATATATTAATTTTGTGAGTTTTCTGTGATCTTTGATGAATCTAGTCTTCCATCTGACATTTTGTGAAAACGCTCATTCATTGTTATCGTCAAATAATCACCTGCCACTGAGCGATAAATACGATTCCAGCCCCTTACTATGACTCAGCCAGGATAGCATTTCTAAGCCGGTATAGTGTATTGATAGTATAAACGAAATGCGTCACGTGATCCTCGTTTCCATGGAGTCACATTTTCACACCGAACATATCAACACTTGCTGCATAATACCCCCGACAATATAAAAGTTCCTAAAATTATACTGTAAAAGTGTTTCCTTTCACTCATCTGGGGTTTAGAATTCATCGAAAAACGAGCTCTGTTGTAATCGCGCGAATTTAATTTGACGGATTTCATGTTATCACCGAGAATAGCGAAATTAGTCAGGGTTAGTAATATACCTCCATGGTAGTAGTAACAGTTAATTCTCGTATTACTTACTACACATTCACAGCGTCCTATGTTTGTTACGGGCCGCGACATGACATTTCGAGTCATAGCAATTCATTCCATCACCCAAGCTGAGTCTCCTGCGAAACACATATTATTCAGCATTTAGTATTTTAAATTGGAGTACCACTATATCTAACTTTGAATTTGAG